TCTATTTTTTTTTTTTTTAAGATTTTATTTATTTGACAGAGAGAGAGTAGGCAGAGTAGGCAGGCAGAGAGAGAGGGGGAAGCAGGCCCACTTACAAGCACGGCCACCATCACAGCCCCCATGCTGGAGCGGCAGCCTCCTGTCTACAGATGAAAGAGGGCTTTGGGACCCTCACAGCCATTCAGAACAACTACCTTCCTTTGGTCTGTAGCAGGTTCTCATTTTAACCCACCTAACCCAGCCAAACAGCGGGCCCTTGTACACAGGCCTGAACAGGTAAGAACAGCTTCCGTTCCCTCAGCAACGCATCCTCTGCCTTGAGCCCGTCAATCCACACCCCATCAAATGCAACGATCCACATTTCACGGCGGAGGAAACAGGCTGAGAGCAGTTACCCGACCTGCCCCAAACCTCACCGCCAGCGAGTGTGAGAACCAGGATTCAAGCCTGGTTCTCTCATATGGGTTGTTGGCGATGACTGACGTAAAACTATAGTCGAAGGAAGGTATGCACCCGCGGGGAACGTGACCAAGTTAAACCTTTTAAAAATACTTTTCGAAGAAAAACATGCATCATGTGAGCAAGTAACCTATGTATCTTGCCCTGTTTTCAAAGGCTCATTGTCCTGGATGGTGAAAATCAGTTACCCCAATACATCATGAGGACTCATTACTTACTTCCCAAATGGAAGGTTAAAGATGAACTGATACAGGACTTTAATAAACCATTCTTCTTTTTATAGAGACATCTGCACCTACCGCTATGATGCTCACGCAGCAGAGACTATAACTTTACAGGGAACTGAAACTACCCCGGCTTATTACTTGCCACGACTGAACTGAGCAAAGACTGGCGTGTCCTGTCCAGGAAAGAGATGGGGAGCGTCGAGGAGAGGCCTGAGTCTTGAGGGACTCAAGTCTTGAGGGAGGCATTCTGCTTCTACCTCCCCTGGAAGCGAATCTAAGATTCTGGGTGTATTAAGTGACCTATATTTTAGACCAAATAAAATGTCAGAGTATATAGGAGTGAACAGCAAACGATTACTAATTAATATTTAGCTGGGTCTTTACTTAAAATCAGGTCACCTGCATCCCCAGTTTTGATCACTGAATACAGTGATTTTCAACTCCGGCTACACATTAGGACTGACAAGAAAATTAAAAATATATATATCAAAGGCCAAGCCCTATTTCATAATTATATAAAAATTGCTGGTACAGTCCCTGACAAAACCCTTTTTAAAAAAAAGAGACTTTACTTATTGGAACAATCTTAGCTCTGCAGAGACACTGAGACCATAGTACAGTCCTCATTTACCCCCCAAACCGGTTTCCCATTATTAACACCTGCACTGGTACGGTACACCTGTCACAGTCGATGCCCCAAGACTGATGCAAGGCCACATTTTATTCTGACTTCCCCAGTTTTTATCTAACATCCTTTCTCTGCTCTAGGGCTCCATCCAGGATACCGCATTACAGTTAGTGGTCAGGCCTCATGAGGCTCCTCAGTGACAGTTTCTCACTTTTCCTGTTTATGAGGACCTTGGACAGTTCTGAGAAGTTCAGGTCAGATATTTCATAGAATGTGCCTAGGCTGGGATTTGTCCAACGTTTTCTTATAACTAGGCTGACATTACGGGTTCTAGGGAGAAAGACCCCAGAGATAAAATGGCCTTCTCATCACACCTTCTCAAGGTCACACACGGAATGGTTTTCAATGCTGATGCTGACCTTGAACATCAGCCATAGTCACCTTGGCCAAAGTCGTGGTGGTCGTCTTTCTCAGCCTGCTATCTCTTACTCTGTCTTATCGATATCTTTTTTAAAGCTCCTCAGGAGATTCTATTGTGTGGCACAAGTTGAGAGCCAGTGTTAAAATAATTTTTTAAATTATCAGCCTAACAGTATTTCTAGGGGATATCTAACGGCAAGGGAAGGAAGGAGATCTGGATCTTAAGAGACAAACTTTTCACCGCCTACCCTTCTTTAAGAGTTTCTTCAAAGGTGTCTCTTTGCAAGAGTATCACATTGTCAAGTTTTTAAAAATATATATTTAAATTTCTCCCTTAAAAAAGTGCTAGGGGTGCCTGGGTGGCTCAATGGGTTAAGCCTCTGCCTTCAGCTCAGGTGATGATCTCAGGGTCCTGGGATCGAGCCCCGCATCAGGCTCTCTGCTCGGCAGGCAGCCTGCTTCCCCCTCTCTCTCTGCCTGGCTCTCTGCCTACTTGTGATCTCTGTCAAATAAATAAATACATAAATAAATAAATTCTAAAAGACCTTTTCTACCCAAATCATTAACCTAAATTCTAGCACATAACTCCTTGGATATCCACAAACTATGTCTTCATCTCAGAGACAATTAACTTCCAAATACCTGGATGCTCTTGAAAACGGTGAAATAAGCACAATGGTTTGTTTCAAAAAGGTGATTCTGCCCACTCCCCCTACCCTAGTGTTAAGCCCCTAAAGGTAGTTCCTACATCAGAAGGCCTGCCCGTGGCCCCATCCCCCAGCCCACTGTCCCAGACCCACCGGTACTCACACGCAGACTCGTCCACACACTCCCGGCTCCTCTGGTTTCTCTCAACTATCCAGTCCCACAACGAGAGCTCGCACAGCTGCATCTGGATGTGCAGCATCAGGTGGTACTGCACCTGGGGGACAACACGGCTGGCTCCCACCTGGGTACGACTTGCTCGCATTATGCATGCAGTCAACAGATACTTGCCTCTGCCAGGCCAAGCAGGGGGCCGCGTGCTCAGGAAAGAGACGACAGACACACGTCTGCCCAAGAAGCCCAAAGTCAAGTGAAGGAGACAGAGGAAGAAAGGAATACCTCAAACAGTGTGTTAGGACACGAGCGGGCAGGAGACGGCTGCAGAGCGGGATGAGCTCCCGATGAGGACACTGAGGCCCTAGTGCAGAAAGCATTGGGCCTGCTCACCATACACACGGTGTCTAAAGCTCAGACACAGAACCAGAATGGCTGGGTGCCACCTGACTGTTCTCTGAGCACCTCAGAGTAGACGTGCGTTCTGGAGGCTCGCTATGTCCTTAAATAACTTGTCCAAAGAAAAGGCAAGCACAACTTAAGTTCACGATAGATAGCGCATGCATTTAGGAACCAAGGAAAGTTTCCCACACGTACTGCGGAGAAATGGAACGGCTCTGATGAATGGTCCCTCAAACTCAAGTCCTGTGTATTCAGGTGACTCTGTTCCAAGTTCTGTGTCTCATAAAAAGCACGTGCACAGAGCCACATAACCCTGGGCAACAAGAATTAATTCTGCACGTGCGTACACAGACGACATACACGGTTCTGTGATCCCAGTATGCCAGAGTATACAGAGGCTTATTAGCATTCAAAGTCCTTTTTAACACAAAGAACCACACCGGTGAGAGTATGTGGCAGTCTCACCAGCATACGGGAGTGAGCCTCAATGAGAGTGTTCTGAAAAACAGACCTGATCTCTCCTCTCCTCTCTCTTAAAGTCACATTCCAAAATAGAGAAGGCCTTTGTGCATAAATATATCTGCACAGCATGATATGAACACACGACAGAAACAGTATGAACAATGCTTCCAACTCCAGGGGGCAAAAATTGGGAGGAAAAGAAGTGCCCAGGAAAGGATCAGCAGGCATTAACTAAGCAAAGGAGTGAAGACCCAACACAAGGGCCACAGGCTAGGGGGACATGGGGAGGTGAAAGGGTGACAAAGACAAATGAAAAGTAAGAGAGGGAAGCCGGCGGGGGGGAGTCACGCAGTCAGCTGGGGTGAAAGGGAGGCCACATCTAGCCACGGGTCCTCCACACTACGACCATGGGTGAGTAACAAATCATCAGAAGATTCTGGGAAAGTGATCTACCTCTGTCTGCCCCAACAAATTTAAGTTTTCAGAAGATTCCCCAGTGGATGTGAAATTCTCTTCCAAGTCGGGATGATGCCTAAGTGGTAGCTGGTGTTCAACAATCGATCTGGAAGGCAAGTCCACCAAACCATTTCCTGGGAGCAAACTGGATGACTCAAGTTCACTGGCGTCCCTTGTGATTAAGTTGGTGCTGTAGTTCACCAATCTGTTATTCTGATTGTCAAGGCCAGATTCTCCTAAGGGCTTTTCTTTTTCTGAGGTGAACTCGGCGAAGATAATGGATGAGCTGTTACTTTCATCATTTTGAACATACTGACTTCTGGAGGGGGAAAAAAAATGGCAAAGATAAAAATCAATGTAAAAAAAGATGAAGAGTAACTCAGCTGTCCCTTCATGCCTACATAAATCTCACTGGTAAACTGTGGAAGCCCCTGGCATCAGATCTCTCTAGCAACAATATTTATTAACCACAATGGCCGAACTAGCTGAGAAGCAGCAGCCATTTAACACTTTGTAATGAAAACGAGCAAAAAGACGAAGAAAACCCAGGGCAGGTGAACGGTTACATCTAACGTGTCAAACTACACAGGTCCACATACCCGTCGTCCTCTTCGTTGGAGATCACCTCCAGAGATGGCGGCGGAACAGAAATTCTATCTGCAAAAGAACAAACAAACAAAAACCCACCTTCAAGCATCCTAGCTTGTTTATTCAAATGCCTGATACATTTTAGGAACGATAAAAACAGCCATTCCACAACTACTACAACTACGCTGGGCCCTGAGCCGGTTGGGGTGGGGGTGGAAACTTTCTGTAGAGGGCCAAGAGTAAGTGTTGTAGGATTTACAGGCCTTCCAGGACTGTGCAACTACTCGGTTCAGCTGTGGCGGTACAACATCAGCCACAGACAACACACGAATGAATGAGCCTGGGGTCCTAACGCACTTTATTCATTGACATGAAATGTGAATTTCATATAACTTTCACACAAAGTATTCTTCCGATCCCTTTTAAATGACTTAAACATGGCAGAAAACACTCTCAGCCCGAAGGAGGCACTGAAACAGGAGCAGGCCGGGTTCGGCCCAGGGGCTGCAGTCTGCCAACCCCGCAGCTACACCATCTGCAATGGCTTACCTCGTGTTTGGGCCATGTGAACATGCTCTATCCAAGCGGTATGATAGCCTACGATATTAGGATGCTGAAGGCCTGCCAGCACCTTCACCTCCCGAAGTACCTGAAGAGGAAACGCACTTAGATCGGGCTTTTACTGACAACTTGTTCAATGTGCATGGCATCAAATACTACTTGTTCCAGAGCAAAACAATAAAAACACATCCAAACAAGGAATCTAAACTATGGTAAAATAATCGGAATATTTCTGAGAGAAGAATGGAATTGTTACAGCAGCAAGTTAACTGACACATATCTAGTGTTTTCTACTTTTCATAGCCCATTTATGTTCATTCTCTCATTTCATTCCTCCTAATGAATCCAGTCCTGCTGTCACCACTGTGTCCAGGATAAGAGACCCAGGTGGCTTAGAGAGAGGCACCTGGGTGGCTCAGTCAGTTAAGCGTCCGATTCTTAGTATCAGCTCAAGTCATGATCTCAGGGTTGTGAGATCGAGCCCCGCACTGGGCTCCATGCTCAGCATGGAGCCTGCCTGGGATTCTCTCTCTCTCCTTATTCGCCTCCCCACCATTTACACACTCGCTCTCTCAAAAAAAAATTTTTTTAAGTCAAATAAAAATTTGGTTTTCATGTTAATTTTACTGTGACCCACTTTTAGTGAACTTAGCAATCCACAACACCTAGTATTTGCCAAATGCACACACACATAACTCTTTCAAAAGGATCTAAATACCCAATTATTCAAAATAAATACACTTTAAAAAAGCATACCTTCATACAATCTGTTTTAGTTGCACCATTAATCAGGATTTTTTTAATTGCATAATACTGACCATCTAATTTATTCCTGACCTAAAAAGTAGAGGAAAAGAGAAAATATATTTGTGCCATTAAATTCAATTGAATAAAGCAAGTTATTCTAACCTGAGCTTAGGATCCAAACTAGCTCAAGAGATAAATTTAAGCAAAAGACAAGTGTCTTTACTATGTTTAGGAAAGTCAGCCACAGTCAGCTAGACCAGAAGCTTCCAAACTGCACTGAGACTTTGACTCCTAGAGACTCGAGGTCTGAAAAATGGAAATGCTAGCAAAAGAACCACATGAGGCCCAAAATACAAAAGCACAGCTTTCTTCCGTGATACCTTTTTAAGTAAATTAATGCGGTTTCCAGAATCTGCCTAAACCACCAATGTGGTTAGAAAAAGTTAAAACCTGCCCACTTCCCTAGAGATGACAAATCTTAGTGAAGAGTACACACACATGATTTCTAGGAACTTCCCTTAGAGCACTTTAAATAATAATCATGAGAACAACTCAAAATACATTTGCTCAGAGTAGGAGGTCAAAACGGATTTGTGGAAAACAACCTTGTACACTCTTCCGTATCCACCTTTTCCTAAGATGGCAAGCTCTTCAAATTCATTTAGGTAACGTGAAGTCTGGGCTTCAAAGGCTATTTCCCTGGACCTAAAAGTGAAATACAAACAACCAATCAATATTAAAACATGAAAGAACCAGGTGCCCAGCATAGTTCACACTCGCTGTATCACTAACCTGCCCAACCTTACTGATCACTGAATTATGATGATTTGAAAAGATGAGCCAAAACAAAATTTCTCATGCTCTAGGAAGAAAATTATTTGCTAAGCAAATCAACATGTAATAAAGATAGCAAGGGGAAAAACCAGAGATGGCAAAGGGATCGCTAATCAAGTATGTTACCAGTAATTAGTATTCCAATTAGAAATTATCAGTGTTTTAAAGCAGGAATACTAAGGACGACTAACGGGCGACAGTTGATTAGCTGAGCTCAACAATAAATTTACTTAATTTTCTTAATGAAAAATGTCTTAATGAGTTATAGATTTTAAACTAGCATTTCCTACAGAGAGCCAAAACTCAATGTTGTTCCCCCGACAAAGACTATGTATCAGTGCTCTGAATTAATGATGGGGCTTACTTTGGAAAATAGTGTGGTGATTCCTTAAGAAGTTAAAAATAGAGCTACCCTATGACCCTGCAATTGCACTACTGGGTATCTACCCCAAAGATACAGAAGTAGTGAAAAGAAGGGCCATCTGTACCCCAATGTTCATAGCAGCAATGACCACAGTCACCAAACTGTGGGAAGAGCCAAGATGCCCTTCAACAGACAAATGGATAAAGAAGATATGGTCCATATATACAATGGAATATTATGCCTCCACCAGAAATAATGAATACCCAACTTTTTCAACATGGGTGGGACTGGGGATTATACTGAGTGAAGTAAGTCAAGCAGAGAGAGTCAATTATCTTATGGTTTTACTTACTTGCGGAGCATAAGGAATAACACAGAGGACATTGGGTCAAGGAAAGGAAAAGGGAGTTGGGGGAAATTGGAGTTGGAGACAAACCATGAAAGACTGTGGATTCCAGAAACAAACTGAGGGTTTTGTAGGGGAGGGGGGTAAGCGGTTAGGTGAGCATGGTGGTGGGTATTAAGGAGGGCACGTATTGCATGGAGCACTGGGTGTGGTGCATAAAGAATGAATTCTAGAACATTGAAAAAATTAAATTAAAAAACAAAAAACAAAACAAAAAAAAAGAAACAGTGGGGCTTATGGAATCCACACAGAATGGGGGAGGGAGAGCATAAGGGGTAAGAGAAGTAAAGCAAATCTTGGAGCAGTCATTAATTTCTGAAAATAAAGCTTTTAATTTTGATAAACTACCCAAACTACATTATTTTTAACTTCAAAATTAGTTTCTAATGAATTCAGGATCAGTTCCTAATCTTAATTTCTTTCGGACATTTTACTCTTCGCACAATCACAGAAGTATTTGACACGTACCTGATCTTCTGGATATGAGAATTATCCTCACAAGGATCCTAAAAATCAGAAAATTATTTTAAAAAGCATTTTAGGCAAACTTCATGGAATGAGGAGTCTAACAAAATTCAACGTCACACTAATAGTCCCAAATGTTCACACAATATTTTAAAAAAAGAAAAACATTCTGGCTTTTTCAATATCACCTAGGCGTTTACAATTGAAAACATTTCTGTCTTAACCAAAGATCACTACTAAAAAAAGCTATAATCTTGCTGATAAGGCTGAGAACTCACCAAGGAGCTCTATCAGCAAAGAATTCTGACTTCACCTTCACAACAGAAGCAGAAATGGCCCACTTCTCACATCTCCACTGCTACTACCCCTCCAAGCTACCATCACCTCCTGGCTGTTTGATCACCTGTCCCCCCTGCTTCTGCCTCTGCCTCCCTCCATCCATTCCTAACATCGCAACTGCGGTGGCCCATTAACATGTAAGTCAGATCACCTCACTCCTCAGCTCAGAATCTTATAAAGCTTCCTACTTTGCTCTGAGTAAAAAAACCAAAGATGTTAAAATGGCTTTCAGGATCCCCCTCCACCTGTCCGTCTGACTGCCCTCCCCGACCCTCCTTGCCCTACCTCTCCCATACTCTCCCCTTGCTTATGCTACTCTGGCCATATGGCTGCCACTCAGCTTCCCAAAAACACCGAGCACACTGCCGCCTCGGAGATGGCTGATCCTCTGCCCAGAACATTCTTCCTCCAGGCAGGGGCACGGCTCATGCTCTCAACTGCAGCTAGCTCCCGACCTCAGTCACTGGCCACCCAGTATACAACCCACACATTTTCTAAGCCCTTTCACTGCTTTCGATTTCTCCATTAATGCTTACCACCATGTAACAACCCCTTTCTTTTTATGTATTTTTATTATGTTTCTATTGCTGACTGCCCCCTCAGCAGAACATAAGCTTAAAAAAAAAGAAAAGAACAGAACATAAGCCTCCATGAGGGCAGGTGTTTTGTCTTTTGTCTGTTTTGCTCACTGCTGGAATCCCAACGCCTATAAGCCTAACACATGGGTAGTCATTTGTACATATTTACTGAATAAACAAATTAATACTTTTATAAACCTGTATTATAACCAGGATTCCACAATGCTTTAAAATACAGTTCTCCTGAAATTAAAATATTTCTGTCATACACAAAGTTTGTATTTTAACGCTTACCTGACGAACTCTCTCTTTGGCAGACCTCATTAAATGGGTAATAGCTCTGTTGTGGTGTAGTCTCAGTGAGCTAAACTCATCGCTACAGGTGAAAGAAGACAGCAGCCCCATTTTGATAAAGGTCTGGCAAAGCACTAGAAGAAGAATATAGAAAACTATTATCAGAAAGGCCATCAATAAAATGGCAATTTTAAAGAGACTACAGAGTAATAATAGCCTCTTTTATATTTTTTTTAAAGATTTTATTTATTTATTTGACAGAGAGAGATCACAAGTAGACAGAGAGGCAGGCAGAGAGAGAGAGGGAAGCAGGCTCCCTGCTGAGCAGAGAGCCCAATGCAGGACTCGATCCCAAGACCCTGAGATCATGACCTGAGCCGAAGGCAGCGGCTTAACCCACTGAGCCACCCAGGCACCCGATAATAGCCTCTTTTAAAAAAACAAAAAACAAAAAACAACCAACCTTGGGGCATGTGGGGGGCTCAGTCTGTTAAGCATCTGCCTTCTGCTCAAGTCATGATCCCAGGGTCCTGGGATCGAGTCCCTAGTCAGCTCCCTGCTCAGCAGGGAGCCTGCTTCTCCCTCTCCCTTTGGCCCCCACCATGCTCTCTCTCTCAAATAAATAAAATCTTAAAAAAAGAAACCTCTGTAAGAAAAAAGTTACATTTATACACATTACAATTTAGAGATTAACCCTCTAAGAGAGAAGGAACAATCGGTACTGTGCCTGATAGGCACATATCTAGAATTAGCTACTGGATACTGATCAGTCATCCGTTCACCATGTCTGGTCAGCTGGTAAAGCACGGAGCTCTGTTTTTAAAAAAGCAAGAAAAAATGTAAACTTACTAGTCTCCTGACATTCAAATACATCACCTTCTGCTGACAGGCAACAAAGTAAGAACAAAGGCAACAGGCAAAACGTGATTAGAACTGACAACAGTGAGTTATTGTTTTCGATGATGGACTGATTATCTCTAACCAACAAACAGCACATACAAGATGTGCACAAACAAAACACTAGGGCAAAGTTAAGTCTGAAGTCACCAGGCTCCTCAGAAAAAGAAGTTTCTCTTCTTCTGCAGAAGTTTCTGCAGAAGTGCTTGGCTTTTCCTTATTCAAGGAATACAGTAAATATAAAAATGCGTTCAAGAAATTCAAGTATTAATACCTATTTCAAATACTTATATACCAGCTGCTTTCTCAGACCCACAATGTAGTATTTTTACAAGGTTTACTCAGAAGATTTTTTCTTTTTTTTTTAAGGTTTTTTTTTTTTAATTTGACAGAGAGAGAGAGAGATCATAAGTAGGCAGAGAGGCAGGCAGAGAGAGAAGGGGAAGCAGGTTCTCCACAGAGCAGAGAACCCGATGCGGGACTCGATCCCAGGACCCCAAGATCACGACCTGAGCCGAAGGCAGAGGCCCAACCCACTAAGCCACCCAGGCGCCCCACAGAAGATTTTTTTCTTACTAACATTCAAACACCTGTCTTGAACGGAGTGGGTCTGGCTCGTGCACATGGCTCAAGTGGTCCAACAAAGAGACAAGCAAGAGTTGGTTTGCAACTGCAAAAGGGAAAGTCGGCTGCTGCAGGGGTCCTTTTAATACCTGGAGTTCTGCAGGGACGTCGGATTCTAAAAGTTAAAAGAGGGAAAAAATGTTAATAAATGGGAAACATATCTCATAATGACAAAGCAGCATCTTCTAATTAACAAAACACAAACTATGTCCATTTAAGGAAATAAAACACAGAACAGGAGTTAACCGGAGTGGGGTTAATCAGGACAGACTTTAAGCTGAGTGTCGAGGTGGGACTCTGGAAGTTGGAAGACTAGCAGAAGGATGCGATCACGGGGAGGGTGAGAGCTGAGGGAGGAATGGTGTGGGCCAAGGTAGAAATAAATAAATGAGTAAGTAAACATCCAAGCGAACAAGAGGGAACAGGATGGCTTCCTTTCTTGGAGAGGACAGCCCAGGTGCTGGCATAACGAAGGAAGTCTGGCAGCGCGAAGTGGGGAGAGGAAGGCAGCATGGAACCATCTAGGGCCCCGTGTGCTGCCAACCGGTCCACATGCACAGCCTCAAATCCTCACAGACCAGTGGAAGGAAGTGATGCCGCTCTCGCTTTACAGATGAGGACCCTGACCTCACACAGCGGGTAAGGAACCTGCAAGCAGACAGATCGGCGCGACACCCAAGCCCATCCCCCTTCCACCAGACAAGACCAGGCAGATGGACAAGCTGGCGCTTCCGGCTGAAGGTTATAAGCTCTAGCTTACTGTTTATTTCATGTTACTGAATCGACCACAAACAGCACGAAGGAACAATGTTTGAGAAAACTGTGCTGGAAAAATGGAACAGGTAGAGAGGAAGAGGCAGGGGACAGGCAACAAGAGCCTTGTAAAGCTCGTGAGTCATAAATTCAGATCCAGTACACAGATCTGCACTACACATGACAAGAGAAAGAAACGGCCGTAAAATTTATATAGAGCTCTGACAATAAAATGAAGCATAATTAAAACTCAACTAGGTTTAACGTAACTTGTAACTAATGACATACATACTAAAATAACTGTGGTTCCAGAACTTGCCGTCAGGTTGGTAACCACTCCAAGCCTGGAATACATGGTATTATTATGGGCACAGAAAAGGAGACATTTTTAATCACAGGGTGTTAAAAGTGTTTGTAACCTTCAGCAATACATGTATCACAGAATTCAAAATGGGCAAAGCCTTGACTCAGCACTTCAAGTTTTTATGAAAATATTTACAGAGCACAACAAGTATGTTTACAAGATGTTCAGCATAATACTGTTTGGAATACTGGAAGGCTGCTAAGCTACTGGAAGGCTCCTATAAGCTATGCATATAGGAGACTAGGCACCTATTGGAAATGATGGTGTATAAAAAGATAATTATGAGGGTACCTGGGTGGCTCAGCCAGTTAAGTGTCTGCCTTTAGCTCAGGTCATGATCGGGGGTTCTGGGATCGAACCCCACATCATCAGGCTCCCTGCTCAGCGGGAAGCCTGCTTCTCCCTTTCCCACTCGCCCTGCTTGTGTTCCCTCTCTTGCTGTCTCTCCCTCTGCCAAATAAATGAATAAAAAAAAATAAAAAATAAATTTTAAAAATTAAAAAATGATAGTACTAATGCAAGTGAGGGTAGGTAGTTTCATACAAACCAATACCACCTCTCCAGTCATCATTTTACCAAAATGTATCAAAACTTCTGGGGCGGGGCAGGGGGAGAGCCTGGGTGGCTCCTTTGGCTAAGTGTCTGTTTTCAGCCGGGTGATGATCCCAGGGTCCTGAGATGGAGGCCCCGCATGGGGCTCCTTGCTCAACAGGGAAGCAGGCTCCTGCTTCTCTCTCAGCCTGCCACTCCCCCCCCCCCCCCCGCCCACTTGCCCCCCCCCCCCCCCCCCCCCCTCCCCATCGCCCCCCCCCCCACTCTCCCCCCCTAACCTAAAAAAAAAAAAAATCTTAAAAAAAAAAAAAAAAAAAAACTTTTTTAAAAATGTATTTCTTTAAGCCAACAAATCCTACTTCTGTAGATGTAGTCGGAGGAAATAATCAGATATCAACAAAGACTTTTATGTACGGGTGTCAAACCAACTATTACTTCTAATGATAAAAGAGAAACTTATTTTCCAACAACAGGGCAAAGACTGAAATGATAATACAAAATATGTGGTCTTCATGTTTTTGAAGGCTAATTTCTCACAAGAAAATGCTAGTATAACATCATATTTAAGAATTAGAACATAAAAGATTTATCATACTCCTCACAATTTAGAAGTATATTTCAAAGCTATATAAACATATAGGCAATAGAAAAAAACAAAACAGAAAATCTCTGCCCCCTCTGTTTCCAATTATATATCCACAGAATTTGTAAAAGAAATGACACTAGTGCGCATGCTGTTTTTCAATCTGCCTGTTTGATCCTTGGTATCTAGGAATCCACCTGGCTTACAGCAGCTCATATTAATATTTGCAAATGAATACACCAAACTGTTAACAGCCAGTTCTCTGGAATGTGAGTACAGGTGACTTTTCCCTTTTTTATTTCCTCAAATTTTTCCAAATGATTCCTCTAAATTTTTACCTTATTTGGACAAACTCAGAAATCTTTAATCTAGGGGCGCTTGCGGGGCTCAGTCATTAAGCATCTGCCTTCGGCTCAGGTCATGATCCTAGAGTCATGGGATGGAGCCCCATATCTGGCTCTCTGCTCAGCGGGGAGCCTGCTTCTCCCTTTCCCTCTCTCTCAGTGTCTCTCTTTGTCAAATAAGTAAAATCTTTAAAAAAAAAAGAAAGAAAGAAAGAAATCTTTAATCCATTTGTGGTATCTTTGACAAAGACTTTTAAATGCAAAACTCAGTGAATAAATGTTCACTGGCTATGCTAAAACGTAAACAGTAATCTCTAGGTGATGAGATTGTGGTTTTTAAATTTCCTTCTTTGGGCTTTTCTATATTTTCCACATACTTGGTAATGTGAAAAAAAAATTTTTTTAATACACTGAATTGTCCACAGTGATGAGATTAGGGTTTGGAGGGTTTTCTGCTTCTATGCTCTCACTCTCCTGTGTTCTACAATGAGAAAATCCTTTTTTTTTTTTTTTTTAAGATTTTATTTGTCAGAGAGAGAGCAAGAGAGCGAGTACAAGCACGGCGAACAGCAGGCAGAGGCAGAAGCAGACCCCCTGCAGAGCAAGGAACCTGATGAGGGGCTGGATCCCAGGACCCTGAGATCACGACCTGAGCCGGAGGCAGACACTTAACCGACTGAGCCACCCAGGCGCCCCTGAAAATCCTACTTTTTAATAAGGGGGAAAAAAAAAGAATGATCAGAGTCAAATGAACCAAGTACACCAAGAAAATGGCAACTTTGAAAAAGAGCAGCACACAAATACTCAAACACAGGAAGGAGTAAAATCGCAAGGAAATGAAGGCGAAAGCTGAGCACTTCCCGTTTCGCTCCCGATCAAGTAGTAGAGGAAGAGTAAAGAGGCTAATAGGAAAGACGAGGTCAGGCCCTGTTACAAAAGAAGAAGAAATGAGATGAGATCCTAGGTGAATTAGAGTTCTAGACTTCTGCCAACTACGAGGGGACAAACAGGACAAAACAGGAAAGGGAACACCTACTTCGGGCTCCTCAGGAAAATAATGATCTGAAATAAATGATCCGTTATTAAGTAAGAGAGAAACGTGGAGGATTAATCCGAGTAAAATTCTGAAAAACTTCTGTCAGATGAAAGAAATTAAAAACCAAAGAGTCTGGCAATGGGTTTACTGTTGCTTTCCTGCTGCATGCTATTCGGGGGGGGGGGGGGGTTACATAGTAATTTTGATCAAAGTTGCTCCCTACATAATAGACAAAAGAACACAGGTTTTAGAGTGACATCTAGGTTTTGAATTTTCTGACTCTACCCTAACCTGGCAAAGTGACCTCCTCACATCATACCGGTGATCTTCGAGAAATCACGTAACTGCTCTGATTCTACGTCTTCTAAAAACGAAACTACGTTTTTTTCATAGACCTTACTTTTCACATAAAAAGATAAATTACGTTGGATATTCTGGGCCTCTTTGGAAGAAAAGCCAATATGTAAACACAAGAGTATTATTAATAACCTAGTAGAAAGAAATTTTTCAAAGCTTATCTATGATCACTCCCTTCCAGAATAATCTTTCCTTTGCAGACAACCTTATCACAATGTGACAGCAAAGACAGACTTTTGCATGTTTACAGCTGAGGCTTCTCCTTTGACATAACACTTCCTGTATTACTGAGCTACCATAGTACACTAGGTTATGTGTGAAAAAAAATCAGTTCATTAAAAAACAGTACTCTTAGGGGCACCTGGGTGGCTCAGTGGGTTAAGCCTCTACCTTCCGCTCATGTCATGATCTCGGGGTCCTGGGATGGAGCCCCTCATCGGGCTCTCTGCTCAGTGGGGAGCCTGCTTCCCCCTCTCTCTCTCTGCCTGCCTCTCTGCCTACCTGTGATCCCTGTCTGTCGAATGAATAAATAAAATCTTGAAAAAAAAAATTTTAAAAACAGTTCTCTTAAAACCGTCCTGTCAATGTACTCAAAATTACCACCAGTCTGTGTTTGAACCCCTTTAGAGTCAAGAATTATAGACAGTATTATGCGTGAAGATCGGAGGACTTAAGGAATAAATTAATATTTTCAACTCCGCTTCCAACTGCAAATCCACTGTATGTGAATACTTGTTTCATGTTTCAACTGAACATGAAATTACATGTATTCCTTGTAATCATCCTATTCAAAGCACCATAAAGTAAAAACCTCCCTGAATCAGTATTATTCAATCTTGAGAGCACCATTTAGCTTTAAAAACTGCCAAAACAACCGGTAGTAATGCAAGACCCTATAAAATCTGAATAAAATACTAGATACTTTAAACTGGCTGGAGTTCATGTTCTAAGTACCCTTCACTTTATGCAGAATAACTTGCCTGACTTAACGCCGTTATTTCCTAGTAACCAAAAGCCTCAAAAAAAAAAAAAAAAGGATTAAAAAACTTGGGCATTTCTTTTCTTTAAACCGACCCACCATGAGGATTTAGCTCCCCCATCAGTGGAGCAAAAAGCAAGAGAAGCTACAAATTAAAACACGGAACCCGAACGGTCAGGCATATAAGGTCTGCAAAGCCCCCTTCTAGAAGTTTACAAACCGCAGGGCTCGGAGCTGGAAAGAGGCCTGAGGGAAATCTTAGCACGTCCAGAGCCGAATCCGCAAAGAGGAAACCACGGAACAGAAACGTCAACAAACTAGCAGGTCGCCGACACTCCTTGCAATAAATGTTTACCTTACGCAGACCGCCCTCCCGCCGCCCCCCCTTACTGCACCGCTGAGCCGCCGGTTCGAGCCCGGATCCAGCCGAATTCGCCCCGGAGCCGCGCCGATGCTCGTTGCGCCCTGCCCCCCCGGGAATTAAGGTGGACGGGTGCAAGGGGACGGCCGCCGCGGCATTTCAGGTTCCTCACCATCATACTTGGGGTCTGAGCCGTCGGCCGGGAACTCGATGGCGGGCGGCGCAGGCACATCCCCCGCCCCGTCGCCCTCCGCCTCGCGCTCCCGGGTCCCGGAGCTGCCTCCCAGCATCGCCCGCCGCGCGCGGGCCGCAGCCCAGCCCGCCCGTCCGCCCGCCAGCTAGCTCAGCACCACCTCACTCCCAGCCAGTGGAACCTGCCACCGGATCCGGAAGTAGCTCCTCACCAGGCAAAAGACCCGCGCCGCTAGCGGGGGCGGGTCCTGCAGCAAGCTCCGCCCCTCCCCTGCTCCGAGGGGAGAAGATGGGCGGTTCCCGCGCGGGCTCACCCCGGCGCAGGCGCCTTAGTGGGCTGGTCTTCTGGTTGTAGCCCATAGCCGGTAGCGGGTGTGTGCTCCCGGTTCCTGCTACGCCCGCAAGGACACCAGCCTGTGCTCCGGGCTACCCCTGAGACCTTAGTACCCGCTCCCGAGTCAGAGCGCTCACATCTCACGCCAAGACTCGGATGCTAATATAAGAATCCTGTGTCTGCAGAGCTTCTAATCCGAATACATCCTTTTTGCAGATACAACAGTGACTATTCGTCATTTGTTTTACTTTTTTTTTTTCTTTTATTTTTCAGAGAGAGAGATCACAAGTAGGCAGAGAGGCAGGCGGGCGGGGAGGGTGGGGTAAGCAGGCTCCCCACTGAGCAGAGAGCCCCATGATCCCAGGACCCTGAGATCATGACCTGGGTAGAAGGCAGAGGCTTAACCCAGTGAGCCACCCAGGCGCCACTCCTCATTTGTTTTTCAAAGAAAAAAAAAAAAAGACAAGACTTACCTCAACAACAACTGAACTTATTTTGGTCACCCGTTAAAACACAACAAAATGTGAAATAAAACCTCGATTCCAAAGTGAATCTAACCTAACAACAATTCGCTGCTTTAAGACTGAACTTCCCGTGGAAGTGATTTCAAACCTGAGACCACCTTTTCCAAGTGACCCCATGGCCGTGTACACCACATTGTCTGTGATTTGAAGCCCTTAGCTTCAGAAATCCTCTGCCCTCTGGGAATGTCTCTGAGGACTTGGTGGCCGACACAATGCTGTTGGAGATAATTCTTAGATTCCAGATCAGATAATGCAGCTGGAATAAAAAGCTGTTCAGACTTTGAGACTCATCCCCAGCGTGATGTGCAAAAGCGGTATTGCTTAAGAATTTTATTTGAGGGGCGCCTGAGTGGCTCAGCTGGCTAAGCCTCTGCCTTCAGCTCAGGTAGGTAGTGATCTCCCGGTCCTAGGATCAAGCCCTCCGTTGGGCTCTCTGCTTAGCTGGGAGCCTGTTTCCCCCTCTCCCTCTTTACCTGCCTCTCTGCCTACTTGTGATCTCTGTCTGTCAAATAAATAAATAAAGTCTTTTTTAAAAAGAATTTTATTTGAGCACAGTCTCCTTATAAAACCATAGGGAATGCATTCAGCCTGATGGGAAGCAATTTGGATGTGGTTCATCCAAAGGTTAGGGATGCCTTTTTCTCTACTCAGCTGATGGGAAGAACACAGCCTTTATGGAGGGTGATTTATCTATATGCATTCACAACTTTAAAAATGCAAATACTTTCGACTCATCAATTCCACTTCCAGCAATTTATTCCAAGGAGCGGGTTAAGAATGAGCAGAAAGATTCAGCTAAAACTATTAATTGCAACACTAGTAATAATTTCAAAAACAAGAAGACAATATAATTGAGTAAATTATAAACATCCATACAATGGCACACTTTGCAACCAATAAAAATGTTGGTATGCAATATCCAGTTCTTGCCCCTTTCTATCACTACCAGAATGGAGAAAACAGCAAACCCATTCAGGTGGGAATATAAATGAAGGCAACATTTCTAGAAAATAATATTCAACTTATAGTAGAAAAATATTTAGGGGTGCCTGGGTGGCTCAGTGGGTTAAGCCTCTGCCTTCAACTCAGCTCATGATCTCAGGGTCCTAGGATTGAGCCCCACATCCGGCTCACTGCTCAGCGGGTAGCCTGCTTCCCGCCCACCCCCGCCTGCTTCTCTGCCTACTTGTGATCTCTCTCTCTCTCTTTCTGTCAAATAAATAAATAAATAAAATCTTTTTTTTAAAGTATTTAAATAGGCTTACTCTTTAATCTACATACAGGAGGATATACAAAGGAAATAATCAGGGTGGTGAAGAAAGATAAATCTATATGAGTGTTCATCAAAGTGTAGTTTATAATAGAAAAGCCCTGGGATAAATCCAAATTTCCAAATAGAAGAGCAGTTTGGGATACACCATGGAGTGAAACCTTATGCAGCCATTACAAAAAATGGGGGTGGGGGTTGGGGCCGGGAAAGTGCACATTCCTCTCTTGGCTTCCATGATTATCACACAGTTCTAGTGTTTCTCTATCTTACTGACCCTTCATCTCAGGTCCCTTTCTGGATTTTCCTTCGCCACATACATAATTCTGTAGGCTCTTGTCACGCCACTACAAATTCTCTCAGGAGATAACCACATGTATTGCTATCACTTTGCATACCCTATATACACTGACAATTCCCAAATGTATCTCTGCAGCACAGACTTGTTCTCTTGGATGACTCAAAAGCACTTCCAATTTCTGAAAGCAAACTCGGGATATTCCTTCTAAAATTAGTTTTCCGCTGCTTCTCTTCATTCGAGTACAACTCAATCCAACCACCGGCCCATGCCTAAAACATGAGTCAACCTTTATTCCGTACCCACTTTATCCAGGCTGCCCACAAATTAATTAGAAAATAGAATGACATCTCATATAAACATGTAATTAACTGGAAAGGAACCCAAATGGCCAATAAACATAGGAGAAGATACACAAATTTCGCTAGGTACAGGTAAGTGCAAATTAAATGGTGAACTCTTATCTCAAACTACTATATTTGCGAAGTTAGTCTTTCATACCAAGTGTAGGTGAGGATGTGGTGGAAAAGAACCTATCATATGTCACTAAAGAACGACTTAGTGATATTGAGTAAAATTAAATGGTGCATACCCAAGATCCACTAACTTAATTCCCATTGAGGTTCTCTTTGGACACCTTTTTAAAAAATTTTTTGTGTTTTTTGTTTGTTTATTTTAAAAATTTTATTTATTCATTTAAGAGAGACAGAGAGACAGCATGAGCAGTGGAGCAGGAGGCAGAGGGAAAAGCAAACTCCCTGCTGATCTGGGAGCCCAATCCTGGGGCTCAATCCCAGGACCTTGGGATCACAATTTGAGCTGAAGTCAGATATTTAACCATCTGAGCCACCCAGGTGTCCCCCCTTTTTTAAAAGATTTTATTTATTTATTTGAGAGAGAAAGCGCATATGCACAAGCAGGGAGAGGGGAAGAGGGAGAGGGAGAATCAGGCTCCCTGCTGAACAGGGATCCCAACACAGGGCTTGATCTCAGGACCCTGAAGGCAGACGCCCAACCAACCAGGCACCCCAATCCTGCAGATGTTAGATTCGCTTGCCCCCATAACTGTGTGAGCCAATTCCTTAAAACAAATCTGTCTCTGTATACTGGTTTTTATTTCTCTGGAGAACCCTAAAACACTTGCTTTCTTGAAAAAGAATAAAAAATGTGAAAATCCTCCAACATATAAAAAGGTACAAAGAATAATGGAAACACTGATGTCTCCACACCCAAATTTAACAACTGTTGACATTAAGCTGTATTTGCTTTAGAATTGCTTCTCTTAAGAGAACTGCTTCTGGGGCACCTGGGTGGCTCAGCTGGTTAAGCATCTGCCTTCGGCTCAGATCATGATCCTAGAGTCCTGAGATGGAGTCCCACATCCAGCTCCCTGCTCAGCAGGGAGTCTGCTTCTCCCTCTGACCTCTCCCTTCTCATGCTCTCTCTCTCAAATAAATAAGTTAAAAAAAATCTAAAAAAAAAAAAAAAAAGAACTGTTTCTCTCAGGCACTTGGGTGGCTCAGTTGGTTAAGCAACTGCCTTTGGCTTGGTTCATGATCCTGGGGTCCTGGGATTGAGTCCTGCATGCTTCTCCCTCTCTCTCTGCCCCTCCCCCTGCTTGTACTCTCCCTCTCGCGCATTCTTTCTGTGTCAAATAAATAAAATCTAAACAAAAATAAAGGATTGCTTCTCCTAAAAAAATAATCTACAGATGTAGTTAAATTCCTATTTTGAACCCTTTCTGGGCCCACTCTCCTCCCTTTGTCTTAAGAGGTAATCTCCTTTTTAAAGTCAGATATCGTTGGGCGCCTGGGTGGCTCAGCAGTTAAGTGTCTGCCTTGGGCTCAGGTCGTGATCACAGGGTCCTGGGATCTGAACCCCACAGCATCGAATTGGGCTTCCCACTCAGCGGGAAGCCTGCTTCTCCCTCTCCCACTCCCCCTTCTTGTGTTCACTCTTTCGCTGTATCTCTCTCTGTCAAATAAATAAATAAATAAAATATTTTAAAAAGAAATTAAGTCAGATATCATTCCCATCCATACTTTTTTTTTAAGATTTTATTTATTTATTTGAGAGAAAGAAAGCACAAGCTGGGGGTAGAGAGACAAGCAGAGTCCCTGCTGTGCAGGGAGCCTGACATGGGGCTCAATTGCAGGAATCTGAGGTCATGATCTGAGTTGAAGTCAGACGTTTAACGGACTGAGCCACCCCAGGCGTCCGCCCCCATCCATATTTTAATATTTCTACAATAAATATATGTCCTAGAATAATATTTTTTGGGTGTACTTAAAAAATTTTACATACAAGGCATCATACTATATAGGACCAAATTGCGTGTGTATGTGTTTGCATGTGTATCTTTTTTTCCTCCACCTACTGCATGAAGTACACTAACTTAACACCTTGAATCTAACTGAATCATTGTAACAGTTCTATAGTATTCATTTGCATATATAATATGTTCGCTTATTTCCCTATTGATGGAACGTATAAGGGAGTCCAATAGGAATCCAGCCCCAAAGGAATCTCTTTTTGGGGTGGCGAAAGGGTTTAAAATTAGTTAGTGGCGGGGCGCCTGGGTGGCTCAGTGGGTTAAGCTGCTGCCTTCGGCTCGGGTCATGATCTCAGGGTCCTGGAATTAAGCCCCGCATCGGGCTCTCTGCTCAGCGGGGAGCCTGCTCCCCCCCCACCCCCGCCTGCCTCCCTGCCTACTTGTGATCTCTCTCTGTCAAATAAATAAATAAAATCTTTTAAA